ATTAAATGAATTTTGACTCTGTCAAAGTCAACCACCCAAAAATATGATGTCAGAAAAAGTATTACAAATAAATATGAAAATTATATCATTATGTAGAGTTTGACTGTCTGACCCCAACGGTTCAATCGGATTTCAATTCGGAGAAAGTTGGACCAAAAAGTGTACCCCGATTGGAACCAAAATTGGTCCCAATCAGGGACACTGTGCGAACGGCGCCTCCCAGCGCACTAGCCGATCACAGGATCATGGAAATGACGATGCAACCTGTCTTCTTCCCCTCTTCAACCCCTATATAAGGGAGAGCTCATTTCCCATTTTCTACACCATTCTTTCTACAATTTAGTTCAATAGAATCCTGTGAGTGAGGGGAGTAATCTGATAGTATTAGTTGTCGTCGAGTTCGCCGGAGCAAGACGTGGTGCTCGCCGGAAGTTTTGCCGGAAAATCTTCAAAACCTCCATTACACTTCGAGGTAAGACCGTAGATATATCTAGTGACTAGAATGTTCATATAAATCGTTTCTACGTTCATAAACGGTCGTTTGGTTGAGTTTTGTGTTTGACATGTTTGAAGAACCAAGAATCATACACCATGAAATTGTTGTTAAAATTACGAATTAATGACTCTAAAATGATCTGTGAACATTGGAGAACATTTTTATATAATTAAATTGAAGTTTGGTGATTAAAAAATGATAATGTTAAAACTGACTCGAGGAAGAAGACGATGAACAGTGGTCGAAAATCGATTATTTACTTACTAAAAATCGATTAGAATTTTATTCAAATCAGCGGTTCGAAGTCAGTACCATTTAATTGATTATTTATATTGTAAAAATCGGTTATTATGAATTAATTGATTATTTAAATTGTAAAAATCGATTATTATGAATTAATTGATAATTTAAATTGTAAAAATCGATTATTATGAATTAATGGATTATTTAAATTGTAAAAATCGATTATTGTGAATTAATGGATTATTTAAATTGTAAAAATCGATTTTTTATTAATTAATCGATTATTTATAGTGGAAAAATCGATTATAATGAATTTATTGATTATTTAAATTGTAAAAATCGATTATAATGAATTAATTGATTATTTAAATTGTAAAAATCAATTATTATGAATTAATGGATTATATAAAATTATATAAATCAATTTTTATAAATTAATTGATTATTTTAAATTATTTTCCTCAATTCCAGATGAAAATGTTCCTAAAATAATGCTCTAAAATCCTATTTTTGATACCAATTAATTATGCACAATATAAATATGATTTTGTACAATAAAACGATGTTTGTGACATATAAACATTATGTGATGCATGACGGTAAGTTCAGGTGTTAACACTCGAGACTAGGCCGCTATTTGTTATTATGCATTATGACGATTGTTTGATTATTGATTATAATGAATTAATGATGATGAACGGTTTGAATGATGATCATGAATTGTTAAAGTGAAAATACTGAATTAATGAATCGTATTGTTAAGGATATCTAGAACAATTCTAAGATATACCCACTTGTATATTGATGATGATTATTAAGGATATCTAGAAGAACTCTAAGATATACCTACTTGACCAATTCATATTTCGGGTTAAAACGTACGTACGGGATCCAGACCGGGATATCACCCACCCGACAAATCATTGTTCGGTTGGTACGTAATCCACATGACTCATAGGGTGGATTATCGATTCTTGTGTTCTGCATTAAACTATTTATAGTTTAAGGGCCTGGTTAGAATTACTGCCTTAGACTAGGAATAGCTAAGAGCTGAATATAAAATGATGTGGCCTTAGATTAAGAATACTTTAAGAGCATTATTGATATATTGAATATCAAATGACTTGGAATAAAATATTGAAAATATTATGAATGTTTGAACCATATATTGGGTGCATGATATCAAATGGTTGATTATGAATTGAGATTCAATTTATGTGGATGTTCGACGCTTTAGATATGCTTACTCAACTTCACCGCTGAGCGTGTAGTGTGTTTTATTTGCTACACGCAGGTAAACAGAAAGATTAATGTGATCCTGGCGGCAGATGGGGTGAGATTGTCAGGATGGATGTGACAAGTTTTGAAATAATTTATGATATGTCAATATTAAATTCGCTTCCGCAATATTGTTAAATACTCCGTACTGTATATGTTATGAAAACTATTATTGAGATTAATAAAGTGTGTTTGAAAAGTTTTAAATTTTACGATTACCAAGTTAAATACTTTAGTCTGAATGGGGCTGCAGACCTGGACGGATTAGGGTGTTACACATCCACCATGCATATCATACATCCACACAAGAAATAGAGATATACATACACTGGGTGAACCGCGCTCACCCCAAACAGTCCTAGAAAAATACTACGGTAGTAAATATTTTCTAAAACTCATAAAATTAAATTAGATGTTCAAAATAAATCTAATAAAATTTTATAAAATCATTTTAAATAATCTGGATATTCGGCCAGCATAAAAAAATTCCAGAATATTTCAAATGACCAAAATGCCCTTTTTGCAAAATTATTTTCGAAAAGGCAATTTAATTCCGAAAAATTTTGCAAAAATAATGAAAATTAAATTTCAACTTCCAGTAATTATTTTCAACATTTATAAACTTGGAAATAAAATTTCAAAAGTTTACAAATCATTATTTCCCTAATATATTAGTTAAATCTCAATAAGTTATTAAAAGCCATTTAAATTCTTTTTTAAAACATTAAATTAGTATAAAAATTTAATATTTTGAAAAACATTCCTTTTCTTACTGAGATATAACTTTCCAAAATATATATTATTTATTTATGTAATTAAAATACAAATATATAAATATATAAAATATTTCGGTAATAATACCGAGTACATATATAAATATATATTTATTTAATTACTAAATAATATTATTTTGTACAATATATTTATCAACAACCTTATTTAACTTAGAAATAATATTTCCAAGTTTCTTAAAGTTCATTTTGAATTTTCCATATTTATTTTCGGTTTTCACCTAAATAAATACAATAAATTCAAAATAGGAAATAATACATTCAAAAATTATAATATAATTTTATCAATCATAGAATGATTTTTTATGTCCAAATAAAATTATATCTACTATTTCTACAATATATATAAATATATATTTTGAAAAATCTATATATATATATATATATATATATTACGGATAGAAATAAAATAAATAAATTTAAAATTCATTTTCAATGATTAATTTATGTCCAATACTTTTTCCAAGACTAAATTAAATCATTTTACTAATTTTTGAATTTTAATAATTACCAAGTTAAAACTTTGACTTTTAAAAATTAAAAAGTCAAACTTAAAACTATAGTTTTGTACGTTGTATCCGATCCCACTGAAAGGTAACAATGCAAGGATAGGCAGCGAAATACAAAAATTTAAAATCCTAACATGATTATCTTGCCCGGAATCACGTACTAAAACTTATAGTAGTATGAAATTTATACCTTTCTCCGTAAGCGGTAAAAACGAAGAAGTCGTAAGAAGAGCGTTGAAAGAGCAAACTTAACCGTTCAAGCGTCCGGTCTCTAACTTTGACACACGAACAACGCCGGAGTCTACCACAATCTTTATGCTAGTAAAGATTATAGTAGTATAAAATATAAAGATTAAAATTAGGATAATAATAATCTTGTATATTTCTTATAGAAAATATTTCTAATAATATTTAGAAAATATTATAGATATTTTCTATACACAAAATGATATTAATGGAACACTTAAAATAATTTTCTCTCACTAGAATCACAAATGGCCGAAAATCAAAAAAAGCTACATTAGAAAAATGGAGTGAATTGTTTAAATAAAACAAAGATGCTCCATTATTTTGTCATTAGCTAAATGACAAAATTAGTTAGTCCACTAATTTATCAATCAAGCAAAACATTAGCAATTTGTCAATTCATTTTATCATATGGCCGAAAATTTTGATTTGAGAAGGAGATTTAAAATCCTTCTCCACTCAAATGTTCAAAGTGTATTTTATTTGACATCAAAAATTAATATAGAATTATTTTTAAATCAAATAAAATTATCAATATCATTTTAAACAAGTATACAAATATACTTTAAATAGTTTATGTCAAAATAATTATTTTCATTATTAAAATGACAAACCAAAATAAAATATTCAATATTATATATATATATATATATATATGTATGTATGTATATGTATATATATATATATATATGTATATGTATATATATATGTATATGTATATGTATATATATTTACAATATATATATATATATATATATGTATGTATGTATGTATATATATATATATGTATATATGTATGTGTATATATATATATATATATATATATATATATGTATGTATGTATGTATGTATATGTATATATATTTACAAATATACAAATTACTTATTATCCCATTGTTTAATCCTACTCCTTAAATTGTCCAAAGTGTGTGACCCGTATAGGCACTTATAAAACTGGCCACAGTATTTGCTCTGCACCAATACTATAAGCAATAAGCAGTATCTAGCAACACATTATTGCCCCCAGATTATAAGTTAAGACGTTTGCACCGTCAAAACCTTTCCACGACTCAGACTCCGTGTAACTGTATCCCTTTGTCTCAATGTCTAAACTTAATGCAAGGGATTAATAAAATCCAACTTGTATCCATTAAGTCATTCACTGATTTATCAAGTCTGACTAATAGGAACAGACGTCATAAAAGCATCTTAGCGTGGCCATGCAATTTCCTTAGTCATAACTTATCAGTGGGCCCCATAAGACATTAATCTCTTTAAAAAGAGTAGCGACAAATCCTATGTACGTAATCTACGTTTCTGAATACGCGCTGCGGCATACCCAAAACAAAGCCTGTATACCATCCTTATTTCATATGGCTTAGGACAATGCATCAAAGCATGAGGGTTCACATATGCAGAAAACGTAATACTTCAAGTCGAAGGATAGTTACACCCGTGGTCGCGCTAAAGATGCTTAGAGCATGAACTAAAAATTCAAGAAACATCTTTAGGATGGGTCAGTCCGGCATCCTATTATCTCCAGATAATATCTGCCTATGTGCGGATGCGAACACACTGTCATTGACTATGAGACTAAGTCAAACATCCAACACACACTAGTCTCACATGCATTAACGATATCCTACTCTCGTTAATACTCGACTATGGACATTTAGATAAATATTTATTTCAAGATGTTAGTCTCATCAGCAGAATAACACTATCTGATAAACATCTTTAAATATAAATTTAGGAATATAATATTTGTTTACATTAGCATGAGATGTGCAAACATATTATATCTGCCTATACACGATAGAATAACGATAAACAGTTGGCCATCAGGGCACAACTCTAACAACAGAACGTTCCCTAGAACGAGGGAAACAACTAGAATGCTGGAGGTCAGTCGGACCCCGTGTTACCGGCTTTCATGATGCACTTCCTACAACAGATGGAGCAAGCACAGATGTACCAGTTGCCGCCACCTCCGCCTCCGGCTCGGCAGGTCACTCTAAAGACCTTGAAGGACAATGACACCGAGGAGTTTCTTGGCGACAACATTGCTGAACCACAGATCGCCTTTGACTCGTTAGATCAAACCACGAGGGTACTAAAGAACCTAAAGATCACCGAAGTTGATCACCTCGAGCTAGTTGTTCAGTTGCTTCAGAAAGGGCATACGAGTGGTGGAAGAGAGCAAGTGAGAATGCTCCTGAGCCCGTGATGTGGATATATTTTGACAGCTCCTTCTAGAAGGAGCACATTCCGCCTCGTTTCCGAGAGGGAAAACGAGCTGTGTTCGTGGCTTTGAGGCAGGGAGATATGACACTCCTTGAGTTTCGACAGAGGTTTGATCATTTGGCCCAGTTCGCACGGACCTTGGTGGGTACTGTAGCAGATCGCATTGAAGAGTTCACTACCAAACTCCGACCAGATATTCAGCCCTACTTGTCAACTGTGTCGACGACGGACTTCACAGCCGCATACAATCAGGAGAAAGGCGAGAAGGGGCTGATTGCATGGAAGAAGAGTTTGGCAGAGTTTGAGGAACCAAGCACCCAACACAAGGGTGGAGCCACGTCTGGTGGCAAGCGAACCTCTGGTGGAGGTCACAACACCCAGCATCCTAAGAACACCAATCAGGACCAGCTCAGTCTGTAGCATCAAGCAGCAAGCTGCGACCATCCAAGTACCCTAAGTGCAATCTCTATGCGAAGAATCACCCAAGAGAGTGTTGGTTCACTCAGGGATTGTGCCTAGGATGCGGTTAGGCAGGACACTTCAAAAGGGATTGTCCTACAAACCCAGGACCTGCGTTCCCTACTGCTGAGGCACAGACATAGTCGACTAAGGCCCGTCCTACTAGAGTCAAAGCCAGAATCATGACCGCCAACAAGGAGGAACTCCAGCGCACACATATGCCATGCAGGGGCGAACCAAAGTGAACAGGGACGTCATCTGGGTATATTCTCACTATTTGATACCCACATGCTAGCACTTATTGATCCGGGTTCTACACTGTCTTATATTTGCATCCCTATGCTAGAAACGTCTGACATTCCGAGAGGCGACTTAGAGTATCCCATGATAGTGTCCAATCCATTAGGGCATAGCATGAGATTACATCACGTGTTTCGAAATTGTCTGTTGACTACTTATGGAAAAGTACTCTCCGTGAACTTAATAGAATTACCATACAAGGAGTTTGACATTATCCTTGGTATGGATTGGCTGAAAGAGCATCAAGCAATAATCGACTGCGGACTACGCACCGTGCGACTGAAGGCCGACGATGGTGGGGTCATTGAAGTTAAGAGGGAACTGTTCCCTAAGACCCCTGAATTTGTATCCTTTATGCAAGCTAAGAGTCTCATCCCTAAGAGATGAGAGGCCTTTCTTTTCAATGTACGCGACATGCGTAAAACAACCCTCGAACTGAAAGACATCCGCTCAGTATGCGAGTTTCTAGATGTATTCTCCGACGATCTCCCTGGCCTGCCCCTACCAAGGGAGGTGGAATTCTCCATTGATCTGATTCCAGGAACCGAACCCATATCCGCGACAACGTATCGCATGGCACCAGCAGAAATGAAGGAACTGAAGGCTCAACTTCAGGAACTACTTGACAAGGGATTCATTAGACCGAGTGCGTCCCCTTGGGGAGCACCAGTACTATTCGCTCGGAAGAAGGATGGTTCCATGAGGCTTTGTATTGACTATCGGGAGTTGAACAAAGTAACCATCAAGAATCGCTATCCCTTGCCGCGAATCAACGACTTGTTTGATCAGCTCAGAGGAGCCAAAGTATTCTTTAAGATCCACCTTCGATCGGGATATCACCAGATTCCAGTCAAGAAAGAGGACATTTAGAAGACTGCCTTTCGTGCACGCTACGGGCACTATGAATTTACGGTGATGCCGTTTGGATTGACTAACGCCCCAGTGATATTTATGGATATTATGAACAATATCTTCCGCCCTTACTTGGATCAGTTTATGGTGGTATTCATCGACGACATCCTGGTGTACTCCGAAACACCAGAAGATCATGCTAAGAACCTGCAAATTGTATTAGGTGTCCTTAGGGAGCACAAGTTGTATGCCAAATTGTCAAAATGTGAGTTTTGGCTTAACGAGGTAACATTCTTGGGGCAAGTGATTGCGAGAGAAGGAATCAAGGTGGACCCAAGTAAAATCTCAGACATTACGGAGTGGAAAACTCCTAGAAACGCAAGCGAGGTGAGAAGCTTCCTCAGTCTAGCTAGATATTACCGGCGTTTCATGGAAGGCTTTTCCTCCATCGCAACCCCACTGAATAAACTCCTTAAAAAGGATGTCAAGTTCGTATGGACAGATGCCTGTGAACAAAGTTTTGACCAACTAAAGAAATGCTTGACTAAGGCGCCTGTGTTGGTGCAACACACACCAGGAATGGACTACACCGTTTTAGCGATGCATTCCATGATGGGTTAGGATGTGTGCTTATACAGGAGAGTAAGGTTGTGGCCTACGCCTCGCGACAACTGAAACCACATGAGTGCAATTACCCCACCCACGATCTCGAGCTAGCTGTAGTGATATTTGCATTGAAGATATGGCGACACTACATGTTTGGAGAAACGACATATATACATATAGATCACAAAAGCCTGAAGTATTTGCTTACTCAAAAGGAGCAAAACCTGAGGCAGAGATGATAGTTAGAACTGATTAAGGATTACGACTGCTACATTGATTATCATCCGGGTAAGGCCAACGTGGTGGCCGACGCTCTGAGTCAAAAGACTATGGTCGAATTGCAACTACAGCCGACTCTGTGGAGTGAGATTTGCACGGCCCAGAATGAGGACGAATACTGCTCAAAGACTAGGGAGCTTGTCTCTAAGGGGGAGAGACAAGACTTCATCATCGACAACGACGGAGTCTTGTTCTATCGGGAGCGCCTTGTGGTGCCTAGTGGTGAAGTGAGGGAGCACTTGTTGCATGAAGCTCAGAGACTACGTACACCATGCACCCGAGAAGCAACAAGATGTATCAAGATCTCAATAAGAAGACATACTGGTGGCCGACCATGAAGAGAGAAACATCAAAGTTCACTTCTAGATGCTTAACCTGTCAATAGGTCAAAGCAGAGCACTAGGTTCCGAGTGGATTGTTACATCCGCCGGTCATTCCCGAGTGGAAGTGCGAGCAAATCACTAGGGATTTTGTGATCAGACTTGCACTGTCAAGCAGGAAGAATGACGTTGTTTGGGTTATCGTGGATCGGTTGACGAAGTCAGCCCATTTCCTTCCGATCAGGAGGGTCTTCTCGTTACAGAAACTAGCTGAACTTTATATCCGTGAGATTGTTAGAGTGCACGGAGTACCTGTGTCTACCATTTCAGATCGCGATCCACGATTCACATCACAATTTTGGAAAAGTCTACAAAAGGCTCTTGGTTCCAAGCTCAACTTTAGCACCGCATTTCATCCGCAGACTGATGGTCAGTCAGAGAGAGTAATTCAGATTTTAAAAGATATGATGTGAGCTTGTGTCATTGATTTCGGAGATAATTGGGAGCGATACCTGCCACTCATGGAGTTCGCTTACAATAATAGTTATTAGGCTAGTATTTAGATGGCTCCGTACGAGGCATTATACGAAAGACATTGCAGAACCCTGGTCGGTTAGACCGAACTTAGTGAACCAAAGCTCGAAGGACCTGATCTTGTCCGTGAAACGGAAGAGAAAGTTCGAGTGATCTTGGACAGACTGCAAATAGCCTTAGATCGTCAGAAGTCCTATGCCGACCTTAAACATTTGGAGATTGAGTTCAACGTCGATGACTTCATGTTTCTAAAGGTCTCACCTTGGAAGAAGGTGTTGAGATTTGGTAAGAAGGGCAAGCTGAGCCCCAGATTTATCGGACCCTACCAAGTCACCGAACGTGTGGGACCGGTAGCTTATTGACTCGAATTGCCTCTAGAGTTGAGTAAGATACATGATGTGTTTCATGTGTCCATGCTAAGGAGATACCGCTCCGATCCTTCTCACAACCTGCCCGAAGGAACAGTCACCCTCGATGAGAGTTTTTTCTACGAAGAAGAACCTGTTCATATATTGGCGCGTGAGGTAAAGGAACGGAGGAAAAAGTTTGTTCCCTTGGTCAAGGTGCTCTACATGAACCACTCCATGGAAGAAGCAACCTGCGAGGCAGAGTATTCCATGCCAACCCAGTATCCTCATCTTTTCAGCGACCAATGACTTAGGTAATTTTGAGGACAAAATTCTTTTAAGAGGGAGAGAAATGTAACGCCCCGAAACTCGACCTATCAGAATTAATTAATTATAATTAATTAATTATGAGATGGTCCAAGAGTTTATTTAAGATATTTGCCAATAAATATTAAAAGTTATACCAATGTGTAGGGTTTGACGAAACGAATCCAATGGTGCAAACAGAACTGAATTCGGAGCTAGTTGGCCCGAAACGTGTATTTTTCTCGAGGTACGTATTTTAATTACGGAGCAAGAAACCCTATAATATAAATGTACTCCCATGCACGCCGCCTCATAACCGCACGTCTCTTACGATCTCTCTCTTGTCGACAATTGCTGCAGCGCCCCAAGAAGAAGAGGAAGAAGAAGAAGAGGAACGTCGCATTCTCGCCTTTACCGTCGTTTGCTAGAGTTTATCATAGTTTAATTCTTCTTCGATCGAGGTGAGTACGTGGAACCCTAACATTAGAGTAAGCAATTAGGATTGAAATCTCTGTTTGTAATCGTTGCGATGATTGAATTGCATGAAAACCTATATGATATGATAATTCGGAAATTCTTGGGGTTTTGATGAAATCTATGGGAAGAACGCATGAACTAGGCATATGAATTGGTGTGATATGACTTGGTAATGTGTAATATGTGTTTATTACCATGCTTGACACTGAATCAGAAGAATCGGGGTTGGTTATTGAACGGAAAACAATCTAGTGCAGTGTCTAAGTATCTGTCGCGGCGGACGGTAGGTTGGTACCGTCCCCAGTTACCTCCCTCTGGCGGTATCTGTCACCAACCGGTACCCAAGTACCGGGCGGACGGTAGGCCCTACCGCCTAATCCGTAGAGGCTACCGTGTGGTGCAATAAACATTCCGGTCAGTACCCACGTACCGTGGGATGGTACTTCAGTATCGTGGGGACGGTACCCCCTACCGCTAAGGGTACCGTGAGGTACCTGAAAATGGAGAATGGAAACAGGCAACTGCAGGTAAATTGGGTGAATTGAACTGTATGTGTGACATACATGTTGATTGCATGATATCACACGACTATTATGAATTGTGGATTCGTTTGATTGTTTACTTGACGTTAGATATTTCTCACTCAGCATCATTGCTGACCGTGTCGTTGTTTGTTTGCTACAGTAGGCAATCAGGTTGAAGATGAACCTAGAGCCAATTTCGGAAGGCGATGAGGAGGAGGAGTAGATGTGGGTGGATTTGATTGGGTATTTGGAATCTATACTTATTTCTGAATGACTTAATACATTTTCGGCCATGAGTCCCAAGCTATGTTGTTTTCAGTAGTTGAGCTTCCGCACTGTTTTATTTTACTCCGATAACAGTCTTAAATTTTATGACCTGTTTGGATGTTTAAATAGTTTTGGAAATATCGTGTGTTTTGGATACCATATTAGTAACAACCTGGTTTGCTAACCCATGTATACGGGTTACGCGGGTTGGGGTGTTACAGTTCCTATAATGGTTTAACTAAATGAG